CCTTATCGATATATGGAGTCCCGTTATTTGTAAATATATGAGTTTGATGTATCATTGGTGCCAGCATTTGTTGAGGTATTGTTCATGTAGAGACGAGATAGTAGCAGCGAAGATGCTGTAGATGCCTTGCCGTGGGAAATATCTAGATAATGCCCGCTACGTGGGCAATGTCAAAACAATTCACAACATGTTGTCAATTACTCTCTTGTCATTTGATCAACCATAAATTCAATGCTGGTCATGATCGGTTGTCACACTTCCTCACCTTCAAGACGTGATTATAAATATTCACGATGAATTGAGCAATGTAACGTCGTCCACCTGTTATAACTTTAATATGTAAATACATGTGGTAATCACATTCATCTGAAAGGTACCATTAATATTTGTTACTATTCAAGCCAAATTCACGATGACAATAGTGATGCATTTATCCCATGGATAAATAATAATGGTCGATATTAATGTGTGTTAGTTTACCTTCATAACATACTTAATAATGAACGTAAACATGAATTAATTGCTTCCTTTATTTAAGAATGCATTTTTTTTAGTTTATGTGTCATCGTATTTGCGAATCTGCTATCGGACGTAAACATACCGTTTGTTGGCTACATATACAGCTCGTTGTGGTACCTTCGTATTCACATAAATCAGACATTTCTAGTCTAGCTAATGTTCACTATATTTGATTTCAGGACCGAGAGTTTGCCTTGGAGAGCAAATCGCAAAGATGGAATTATTTCTTTTTCTGAGTAATCTACTGCATAGATTCCGTTTTGAACTTGACGAAGACATCGCGACAGATCCTAATATACTGAAACCAGTGGAAGGACTCACCCTGACGCCGAGAACTTACAAACTACGAGCTAATAAACGCTGCTAAAAACGGTCTCTTTAACTTACGGGAAACTGACATGATATGTGAGTCAGTTTGAGCCACGCACACGTCTTTACCTTATTACCATATTCACTACGGTGCGTTATTTCTGCTCTAGGGGGTATTGTGTTGTAAATTTAAATCACGATTTATTTGACCGAGCACGGGACACAAGTTCAAAATTTGTTTTGAGAATAAATCTTTGCATTTATTATAGAATAATAAAACAAACCGACTGTTTAAATCAAATCACGAAATAGAGTACGTTGCACCAGTGAGGCATTACGTCTGATATGTGTGTGTGTGGCTGCTAGTATATCAGATTAAAATACGAATGAACGTGCATATAACAAATCGCATTTTAGTTATTATTTCAATTCGGAACGATAAAGCTGCTGACGTACTGAAAATAAAAAAGCTTCCATTTCAGTTAGGTCCGTCAAATTCACGGTTTTTCAAGGCCATGGCAGCATGCACACTAAATGTAACCTATCGATATATGGAGTCCCGTTATTTGTAAATATATGAGTTTGATGTATCATTGGTGCCAGCATTTGTTGAGGTATTGTTCATGTA